GTGCGCGATACTGCGGTACTGATACTAATTGTTATGCTGATTCGCTCGACTGACTGATTGACTGACTGATTGACTTGACTCGATTGATATTCATTCGCACAACTGACTGTGTCTGGAGGATGTCACGTAAAATGGATACTTGGGTTGCGAGAGAAAAGAAAGCTGAGTCGTAGCCCAACTATTAATTCTCTTTTATCGAACTTTATTATGACTTTGGCACTTACAGTAGAATAACGTTGAACAGAGAAAGGGGTGTTGTACAAGAACAGCAACTAGAACGAGAACAAGTACTGCCCGAGCTGGGTGAAGTCTCGGATTATATACGTTTTGGTTTTAGGATGTTGAGGGGCTAGGTGTAGGTTATGATGTAGAAAAGTGTCCGAAGGTCGGGGGTCCATATCCTATCTCTGATGTGGACTGAGGTGTGATTGATGTCACAGGAGCAGCGTCTGACGATCAGTGAGTTTGAGTTAGAGCAAGTATATCTTTCATCCCGTTGACCGTGGATTCGTCATCGAACCTAAGACCAACGTCACTAACATCGCAAGTGCCCAACCACCGCTGTTGATTGTCGAATCGGTAGTGTCCATACTCGTAGCATCAGGCCGTATCTTCGTTATCACACAACGATGGCCAACTCCAAGGGAGGTCTATCAAACGCCCACAACCCTGTTCCTGACTCTTCTCCGACATATATGTCGGAGACAAAAGAACACCGGAGCCTCTGGAATTTTGGATAATCCCTCAACATTGTAATCTAGAGTCTACGATAGCTCTAATTAAGCAATTGTCGTCATTCAATCCGATTGTATTTATTCGGGATTTATGATAATGAGCTTGGGCTCGAGGTGACAACCAGTTGCCTGTAACGTCAATTCTACACACCCTTGGCGCGTACCCTCAATGGTCTTAAGTACCCACCAGGGGTCTTGGAATTTTCATAGTTGAGGTCCTTCGGACCAAACGAGTATCTCTTGTCTTAGATTTCCTTTTACGTTTATTGTTTACCACGTGTTAGCATAGAAAGTTGGTTTTCTTCACATCTGGTATGTTCCGTTAGCAACTTTCTCGCGAGGGCGTCTAAAACCCTTCCTGGTCCACCAACTGTCTTATTATCCAATCGGAGACGGTGTCTACTGCCCTCATTTCCTTAACCAAAATTATCATCAACAAATCCGATAGTCCCGTGTCCTTAGACACAATATTGTTAGTGAAACTTCACTTATTCTATATCCTTAGAATAGTCAACATATCTTTACCGGTCTTTGTCCTCATAACAGTCACGTACTTAACGTATCATTGTAACTAAGTTTTACGTAACGTAGTTGGAGTGAATTGTGATTTATGTTAATTCAGTGTGTATTCCGTTGTGATTGTTGAATCCGTAATAAAGTTCAACAAAAACAAAATTAATAGTTGTGTCACGACTTAGCTATTTTATTTCATCAACCAACCCTTAAGTTTACGTGACTCTCTGTGGCATCATCATGACGGGAAAGTCATTCTCGCCCGCGATCTCATCGCAAAAGGAGTAACGTCTTCGCGATCGGTGGTTATTTCACGTTCTAACCAGGCTTAGACTTTGTGAGTACGTTCTGTTGTCATCCCGTTGGCCGCGGATTCGTCATTGGGCCCGAGAGCATTATCACTCGTGTCGCAAGTGCCGTACCGCTGTGATCAATTGTGTCACTCGTGTCGCGAGTGCCGGACCGCTGTGATCAATTGTCAAGACTGTAATAATTCTATCATTGCAATAAACTACACCTGTGTGTACCGTATCAATGGCTAATCCTCGAGAAGATTCATTTGGCGCCCACAACCCCGCTCCCAGTGCCAATCCGACATATATAAATAAATATATATATGTCGGAGATGAAAGGACACCGGAGCCTTCTCTCTGGAACTTCGAGAAAATCCGTAAAATTGTAATTAAAATTTACAGTCGTAATTAAACAATCTGCCGTCATCCTGCCCAATTGTACTTGTTTGCGATTTGTGATAATAAACTTGAGCTCAAGGCGACCATCAGTCGCCGAACGTAGCCGCGGTCAACGGGACGGGCGCTTCGTCTAACAAAGGTGTGGAGTGATAGTATGAATCTCATTAAAAGAAATACCTATAGAGGTACTTGACAGTAAAACATTCCAACGGTTCCTTCGGTCATTCCAACGGTTCCTTCGGACAATGAATACCCGATGTTGAGGCACCTACACAGCACAAGTCCAGTCAGCCCGAGGACCCGCTATAAAACATGGGTTTTTCCGGCAATTAAGATTTTCCAAACGGACAGACAGTCTTTGTCCCAAACTGACCAATTCACAGCGACGTCAATTTCCCTTACTTTCTGAACGAAGGCTTTTCTCGACGAATCCGATGATCTCGTGTCCTTAGACAAACCCCATCATAGTTTTCCTCTGACATCATTGGGACGAAAATCCATTCTTTCTTGAGATCCCACCGACGAAGGGAGTGTCACGTAAAATGGATACTTGGGTTGCGAGAGAAAAGAAAGCTGAGTCGTAGCCCAACTATTAATTCTCTTTTATCGAACTTTATTATGACTTTGGCACTTACAGTAGAATAACGTTGAACAGAGAAAGGGGTGTTGTACAAGAACAGCAACTAGAACGAGAACAAGTACTGCCCGAGCTGGGTGAAGTCTCGGATTATATACGTTTTGGTTTTAGGATGTTGAGGGGCTAGGTGTAGGTTATGATGTAGAAAAGTGTCCGAAGGTCGGGGGTCCATATCCTATCTCTGATGTGGACTGAGGTGTGATTGATGTCACAGGAGCAGCGTCTGACGATCAGTGAGTTTGAGTTAGAGCAAGTATATCTTTCATCCCGTTGACCGTGGATTCGTCATCGAACCTAAGACCAACGTCACTAACATCGCAAGTGCCCAACCACCGCTGTTGATTGTCGAATCGGTAGTGTCCATACTCGTAGCATCAGGCCGTATCTTCGTTATCACACAACGATGGCCAACTCCAAGGGAGGTCTATCAAACGCCCACAACCCTGTTCCTGACTCTTCTCCGACATATATGTCGGAGACAAAAGAACACCGGAGCCTCTGGAATTTTGGATAATCCCTCAACATTGTAATCTAGAGTCTACGATAGCTCTAATTAAGCAATTGTCGTCATTCAATCCGATTGTATTTATTCGGGATTTATGATAATGAGCTTGGGCTCGAGGTGACAACCAGTTGCCTGTAACGTCAATTCTACACACCCTTGGCGCGTACCCTCAATGGTCTTAAGTACCCACCAGGGGTCTTGGAATTTTCATAGTTGAGGTCCTTCGGACCAAACGAGTATCTCTTGTCTTAGATTTCCTTTTACGTTTATTGTTTACCACGTGTTAGCATAGAAAGTTGGTTTTCTTCACATCTGGTATGTTCCGTTAGCAACTTTCTCGCGAGGGCGTCTAAAACCCTTCCTGGTCCACCAACTGTCTTATTATCCAATCGGAGACGGTGTCTACTGCCCTCATTTCCTTAACCAAAATTATCATCAACAAATCCGATAGTCCCGTGTCCTTAGACACAATATTGTTAGTGAAACTTCACTTATTCTATATCCTTAGAATAGTCAACATATCTTTACCGGTCTTTGTCCTCATAACAGTCACGTACTTAACGTATCATTGTAACTAAGTTTTACGTAACGTAGTTGGAGTGAATTGTGATTTATGTTAATTCAGTGTGTATTCCGTTGTGATTGTTGAATCCGTAATAAAGTTCAACAAAAACAAAATTAATAGTTGTGTCACGACTTAGCTATTTTATTTCATCAACCAACCCTTAAGTTTACGTGACACGCCGAACGTAATCGCAGTCAAGGGATTAACGGTTTGTCTAACAAAGGTATGGAGCATAACTCTCCTTAAAAAGAAATAGTTGTAGCGGTACTCGAGAGTAAACATTCCAACGGTTTCTGTCCCGTGGCTCGCCACACGCAGACCCTATTCTTCGAGCAAGATGATTGCCAGATGTCGATGCGTCTCCGCAGTCTCCGCAGTACATGTTCAGCTAGCCTGAGGGCCCGTCATAAATCTTAGGATTTAGTTGACTAAAGTCCTTCAAACAAACAGTCTTTGTCCCAGCTACGGGAAAATAGGAGAGACCTATTTTTCAACGAACGGCGTCTCCCACTGGCAACTTTCCCTCGAGGGCGGCTTAGATTTTGTGAGTACGTTCATCTATCATCCCGTCGACCGCGGATTCGTTATTGAACCTAAGATCGTTGCCATTAGTTTCTCGAGTATCTAATTACCACGGTTACTTGTCCAGTTCTATGATAATCGTATTTGCATTAGTCGAAGTCTTCTCTATTGCATGGCGACACGTATAATCCAAACGAAGATTCGTTTCACGCCCCTAACCCTGATTCTAATGTAAACCCGACATATATATGTCGGAGTCAGGTTGGCATTTTGGGACGTTCTATGAACCTTTACTTACTTTACCGTCACGGATGTGGCTAATATTTATCAGTACGAATGTGGGCACTACAAGAGGCTATGAGTAATGGCAATAGGATGTTCGAGATAATGGTGACAACGAAATCAGGTTCGATAACGAATCCACGTTTCACGGGAGGACAAGTATCAAAGTACTACTCGATTCGGACAACTCAATCAGTAATTCGTCCAACGACTAATTAACAAACTAACTTCCTCAATCCAGATGAAACTGCCCTTACTCCTGTTCCCGCTTCTCGGGTCAATCCTTGTTCTTAAGGAGAGTCATAAAATCATTCCGTACCTCTGTCAAGTACGCGGCCCTCCCGTGACCGTGGCTACGTCTGGTGACCCGTTATGTCACCTTAAACCTGAACCCATCGTCGTAAAGCCAGGTTGGAACATTACAAGTTATTTTCCTTACTTTTATTGCATAAACATAAAAATCTTGACTATGGTAGTGGGTGGTCTTTCCCAGCATTCCCGACGGAAAATCCCGCTGTCCTTCCATCTCCGACATATATGTACGTTTCAATAATCAGTGACAGTTCTTTGTTATTTTATTGCTTCTATTAAATATAAATTATTTCGACAGTTTATTAGTTATTTCTGCGATAAAATCTTCTATCTATTATCAGAGAGAAAATAATTCCTCTCTATTGTTATGAAATTGAGAAATAAACAAACACTGCGCCTTTTGAAAATAAAGACCCTATACAAGTTCCTAAGAACTAGTGACTTTCGTGGTTGTCAAATCCTACGTGCGTTTTGTTATATATGTACTGTATGTACACTGTTTTTATATTTCTTACAAAGTTGATAAAGTATCTTTTGTTTACCTGTTTGCCTAGGAATTTATAATGAGTGACGATGATCGAGACATCGACATTGAGAGCGATGTAAGCCCTTAAAACTGTTCTTTCAGTGGACCTTGTTAAAGAGATCGTTTTTTAGGAAGGTGACGATTCCGATTCTAGGCAGAGGCATTCAAACAATACCCAATATTATTCTCAAGTAAGTTCATTATCCACTTTTATTTTCCTTCTATTCTTTCTAATTTCATTCATTTGTTCAACATCTTTTATTTAATTAACGATATAAACAAGTTTTATTTTCAAAATATAAAATGTAAATATTGTTGAGGTTAAATGGACATTTTCCGTGTGATTTAACTAATTTATTCTTGTAAATAATTTCTCATTGAATATCTTATAAAATGAAGATACTCGACTAGTATGTATATTGATCTGTAGATTTAATTTTATAATTAAGATTAAGATATACACACACATGTTTATTTTTAATAATAAAGTTAAGATTGACATTGATTATAAGGCAAGAATTTAGATGTAAGATTTTTGTACAACTTATAAATAATGTAGTTTGATTTGATATGAAAAAACATTGTATATATTGATAGGCAGAAAAACGGGCACATCATAATGCGCTGGAACGGAAACGTCGGGATCACATTAAGGATAGCTTCTCCAGTCTTAGAGACTCTGTACCTGCGTTGCAAGGAGAAAAGGTTGCAAGTAGGGCACAAATACTGAAGAAAGCTGCTGAGTATATACAGTTTATGCGACGCAAGAATTCTTCTCATCAACAGGATATTGATGACTTGAAACGCCAGAATAGTCTCTTGGAGTCTCAAAGTAAATATTAATCAGAAAATTAATTAGATTTTATTTTAACACTCTTTGAAAATTGAAAATATAGTTTAAATGGAAGATTATTACAATTATTCTCCATTAAGTATATTTTGTCATGATTGTAGTTTAGGTAAAAGTTTATATATGTTACTTTTATATTTTAAAAATATATTGAAATGTGTTTGATACACTATAAAATATATATAATATTGTTCTGCAAAATTTGTCTGCGCCATAAATGTATTTTTGTACTATTTATAGTTAGGGCACTTGAGAAAGCAAAGATAACAGGCAATTTCGCTGCTGAAACTTGTGAAGTCACAAAGTCAGAAGGTGTACCAATGCCTGGATACAATGACACAGAGTCTGAATCATCAGATAGTGAAACTAGCAGGACAGTTCGCCAATCAAAAAAACTGAAAGTCGGAGGCCTCCACCATTGACCAATGGTTTGATCTAATTTTTGTTTTGACAAAAATTTATTTTTCCGTTACTATTAAACTCCATATATATATTTATTTACATAAAATGGAGACACTTAGTGAATGGAGTCTTTCAGTGGAATCTTGAATGTCTTAAAACCGGTGTAGAAAATATTGTACAAATTATAAGCAATGCTATTGCTTCATTCAAAGATTCATGAAATAATACATTACGAACACTTTGGAGTAAATTCTTAAAATTTGTTAAAAAATTGGAATTATTTTATTTATGAAAATAGTTGTTTAATATAAAGGAAATAATGTATTGTGAGGTGTTTTGATTTATACTTCTAAATTCTTATACTGATAAACTAATTGAATTTAATTAAGGTTGTGCTATTAGTAACCACTTTATCAATACAAATTCAAGCAATACATTTCTCTAAATATATAACCTCTTTCTAAAAGAGAGTTTCAAATGTTTCCTTTGTTTTCTTATAATTTTTAATTTATTTATTCAAGATTACTTATCATAATTATTGTATTGTTGATTTATCGAAGAATCTGAAAATACTAGATATATGCTCAATTGTAAAATTTATGAAAGTTTTGGAATTATTTTTTCGTTTGGAGAAGAATTTAATAATTATATGGATGAAATTTTTATTACTAGAGGAAAATATATTGAAGTATATAGAAATAAATATATTAGAAAATGTATTATAATAAGAATTACTCAATTTTAATCACTTTTTAACCTTTTACATATATCTCTATATGATAGAAAGTAAGTATTGATAATGGTATATGTTTATTTTAATTAGAGTATTTTTTTAAGAAAAATGTTTCTTCCTTTTGAACTTTATAGAAGTCTTTGTAAATAGATGGAAAGTATTATATCAAATCAATTAGTTATAGAGTAATATTCTTTTAGCAGGAAATATTGTACTCTATAATATTAAGAAATACGAAATTTATTTTATAAATTATGAAGAATTTATTAAAATCGAATGTAAAATTATTAGATACTTATAATCACTAGAAATAAAGATCATTTGTGAAATACATTTTATTTATATGCATATTGTTCTAAAAGGTATATATGTATACAAAGTGACCAAACAAAATCCAATCATATAAATATTTATTATTATATGATAAAGCTTCTCAGGACAACAGAGGAAGTAGTTTCTCCTCATGATCATTTTTTACAAGATTTCAAGGTCATCGCCATTTCTTTTAAATAAGATATAAGATAATAAAAAATATATTTATTTTGTGGTATCCTTATAGGGTGTGGTAAATCTTAATAGCTATACTATTGCCATCATTTAATCTCGAGATATTTACGCCTGATGTGTGCGTATGTAATAATTACTTATGTTTAATCGACAGGTGGCAAAATTAAAAAATCGAAATTTTATTGGTCCTTGGGCAGGAAGAATTTTTTAACATTTGATAGTTCAAAAGAAAGTTTTGAATGTAAGAAATTAATTAAGATTAGTTTTATCTAAGTAATAATTAGACGTGATTAGTGTAGTGTTCTATCTTGGACTTGGCGACAATATCTATATGAAAATTTTGCTTATTCTTAGTACCATTGATTTACCATAAGATGGTGCCACCATGTACAAAATAAGGCACTACACTTATTGCATGTAATTAATTAATTCTGCAGAAAATCGGAATAATGACACAAGGATGATGTATAAATACGGAGATGATTTATGAGTTAAAACTTCAATCCCTGAATAGTTTAAGAATTTGCTCTGCAGATCAAGAAATTTCATTTTTTAATTTAAGCAGGGTGGCGTCTTCATTCGGGAGTTAGTAGTACTAACAAGAAGTAAAATTTTGCATATATTCACACTTGGGAAACTGTCAAAATAGACGTAGTTAGACCAAATTTAGGACATTGTATGAATTATCATTTATGAATATATTAAACCTATAACATTACCAACATCAAATTAGAGTAACTAGAAACAACAACCATAAATATTGAAATGATTTAAAAATATGTACATTTATTAGCAAATATACAGATAAGATATAAGTTTAATCACTTAATTGAAATATGTTTATTTAATCACGTAAGTTTTCTCTTGTAAAATTGAATCTTTACATCACTATGTCCTTCAATTTGTACTATAATATTAAAAGTAATTATAAGTGTATTGCATTTAAAACATAAGCTATCCTGATAGTTCTTTAAAGTATACATATATATATATATATATGTATGTAATATATAGTATATATATATATATATATTTATATGTCCATACAAAGGAATTTAATTTTATGATGTACATGATATATTACAGAAATAGTTTCTTTTTCAAGTATTGTCAATGTTTAACGAGAATATTTATAAAGATATTCTACAAAATGTAATAATTATAACAATTGAATTATTAATCTAGGAGACAAACATGAATCATTAAAAATAAAAATTTGCAATGCATTATATCATATTCTTTAATTATACAATAATTATAGTTACAAATATACAAAATAAATTACTACATATGCTGACATAGTTTTCGAAATAATTTTAACATAAATATCCAAGAAGCCACATAAACATATGTTCTACTTAACCTTGTTTCAAAACTCCGACCATCTTTGTTATATCTTTCTAAACATATTAGGCAAATATAATTGATTTTCTACAATTATTTACGAACAATATACATAAATAAATAATGAAAACGCGATATTTTATATTATAAAAAAATTTATTTTATGAGTAATCATCTTTTACTGTAACAAAGTATAATATATAACACTAATGTTACGTATTATATTAAAGATCTCAAATTACCTATAAAATATTATGAAATAATTCGTTTAGAATTTTCAAGAAATACATACTTGTAGGATATAAAAATTTATCTGTAATTAATACTTTCGTGTATATTGTTACAACAAATTACTGAAGTAGCAAAATTACATTTTTGTGTTTTCAACTTTTGCACTCTTATTCAGACTATATCATTAAGTGTAACTTTTGCAAATTATTTTGATAAAATATATTTACCATACAATAAGTATGCACTTGATCGAGATAATGCATGCGCGAACTTATTCAGATGTATCACATATTCAACAGCTCAACTTCTTTATACTCAACATAACACAAAATATGTATTTCTCTTACAGTTCCAAAATTTAATTTTAGACAAAAAATGAAAATATAATTTTAAGCACGTAGGAGAGAAAATACGCGAATAATTTGAAACTTTAGACAGATAAGATCACAAAATATTTTTCGACTATTCCGTCAAAAACTTAGCATTAAGCATTTTACATATTTGTACTTGTTAAACAATTTTTTTCGTAAATTTAAATGTGATGAAGGTGTGCTGTTCATCTAAAGATAAGAATAATATTCGACTGTTCTGAATAGTTTGATACTTATAGGTTATGGGTACCACATTCGAGAAACTGTTAATTATCAACCACATATACCACTCCAATAAAGAATAATAGTATGGAATGACAATGAAATGAACGATTCTTGATCTCTGATAGTAGAAAGTTGCTGTTAATCTGCACAAAATTTCTCCTATTAAGCACACATTACACAGACCGTGATAATTAATACAAAAAATAATGAGCATAATGAACGATACAATTAATAAACTACCATTTAAATAATCAACATTTTTAACATTATTATCATTTTAAATGTTCGTATATTTTTACACAACTAAGCAAAAATACTAATATAACTGTATATATGTATATATATACACATATTTTTATGTAAATTCATTGTATGTTGCAAAGAAAGTACTAGATAGTTACTTCACGTTTTTTATATTGGTACTATAAGCGCAGCATTCGTGTAGGTAACTTCGGAGCGTTCTACAATGTTACAAATTTGATTATTAAAAGCAAACGCAATTTTTATTATTGAAATTGTATATGTTTTAGGTGTGAAAATTACATTTTATTCATAGTAATCAGCCAATAATGAACTATTTTCAACAATTATATCCTAAATTTGATAAAATATTTGCTGAAACATAAAATATAGTAACTATATAATTTAAAATTTTCCTCTAAATCTGGTAATAAGTCAAAGTTACTAGACATAATAAGTTAGAATGAAACATACAAGTGCCTATTTATACGATCAAATTTTGACGGAAAAATTGAGCAATTCAAAATCGAAGACAAACTAATAAGAAGGGAATTAACCCTACTGCATTTTTCAGGACACTTTTAACCCAATTGAATTTTTCTAACTTTTAAAGTATCTCAAATTTGAATATAGTAAAAATATGAGAAAAATTATTATTGGTTTGTATGGATTTCTGGTTTCAATTTTATGTCAAACGTTTTTCTAGAATATTAAAATTCTTTTTATTCGCTGAAATAAAATCATGATTGAAATACAAGAATTAAACGATCGCAACAGGGTTAAACGCGAGTGGACGAGAGCAGCAGTTTGAAGTTAGCTGTGTAAAGTTGGCAACCGATTGGAGCGCTATCGGTACAGTAGTGGGGATAGAAGGGAGGTGTGGTAACGGTTAGGAGTCTCGTCCAACCACGAGAGGAGCTAGTAGCGTTCGTCTGGCAGTATGAGGCGGCGTGGGGCTAGGGACGATGCATGGGCTGCGACTAGGAGGCACTTGGGAGGTAGGGAGGGCATGCGAGCAGAGCACAGTTCAGTAGTCGCCATTGCAAGTCCCCCCGTGCTCTCGTATTCGTGACACTCGGACGCGTGGAGACGATTTTGCGCTAACCTAATCTCCCCGCGAGGGCCCTAAGTGTGCCCCCCCGATGCAGAGATATTGCACCGAGCTCACCGATAGATTGTTGAAATCACTTGATAAGGAATACAATGTAAGTAGCGGAATGAATCCGCGATGCGCCGTCCGTCCGTTCACGCAAACGGCTATCGGGCCACTCTCGATCCCCCGTGCGCCGTGTGCCTGTACCAGTAGCGTGCGCGAGAGTCACTGAGAGTGTAGTGTGGTGGCGGTTCCGCGTGTGAGTGAGTAATGCGTTTCTTCTGTGTACGTTCGATTCCAGTCAGCCAATTTTCCTTTTGCACGAGTGTATACATCCAACGTTTTTCGGCTACCTGGAGCATAACCTTAACGTTCCTCCAGCGAATTGTCCAAAGTCGAGAGGAACTTACAAAGAAATCACTGTTCCCTTCCTTTCTAGCTGTCTCCCGATGTTTAGACTCTAGTTACACTCGATTGCAGTACTTTCGCAAATTATCATTTTTTACCGTATTTTTATCTTTTTTAGAATTTTATGTAGAGAATGAAGATTGAAGAATAATTGGGAGAATCTCGCGGTTCGGGTTCGATAGCCGTTTTCGAACAATTTTTACGATAAACGTTAACATTACCATAAGTCTACTTTCATTTCGCTATAGATTAAGGAAATGTATATAGACACGTGTTGATTATTTGTATTTTACGTTCGTTCATGTTTTATATCACGTATTAAATGTATCAATGATCGAATCGTACTATTATTTGCATTTGTAGTTACAGTAGTTTGAGCTTTATATCAAAGTATGGTTCGATTTTACTATTGTAAGATCGAATTTATCAGGCAATGAAATATCTTTTGTTACGTGTTGCTAGGAATGTAATTATCAAATTATTATTAACAATGTAGTAATTGATTAAAAACACAGATGTAAATTTATCAGAATTTTAAAACTTTCTGTATATTAATAAAGCATTAAAATATTTTAAGTATTAAATTTATTATCTTTTAATTAATTTGCATTCTTTCAAATAATAATAAAATTTTTAAAACAATGCAAAAGTATTTTCTTTTTAAGTAAAGTTAATATAGGTTGATCATCTATTTTTATTTTCAATAATAAATGATTTAATCGTTGTGTGCATTAAATATTTAATAAGACAAGCACAATGAAATGTCATTAATTATTTATATGTTATGTAAAAACATGTAATTTATTAATAATTTATATAAATATCTATTTCCCCAAATATTTAGGAAATTGGAATAGCATATATATTGAAAGGTATTTTCAAATATACAAAATATAATTATTTTATTAATTCTAGCAATTTAATATAAGTGGTACATTTGTATAGAAATATAATACATTTAATTTACAAAATCAATACTTCATAATGGCACAATTATCAAATTTTATTAGGTCATCGACATGGGAGCTGTTGTGGATGTCATTACGGCCCTGGAAAAGACGACGATCACTAAAGAAGTGCTTGAGGTAAAAATGCTGCAAATATATTATGTTAAACAAGTTTTATATTAGAATGACAGAAATTGCATCTAATGATAATTTGATGAAATTGCATCATGTTCATTTGATCTTATTTCTATCAGTTTTCTGGTTAATTACATAAGTATAAAAATGATCTGTTGAATTATTTCAGAGTACAAGACTTGGAAAATACATTAATGAACTTAGACGAAAAACAAACAATGATGCCTTGGCAAAGCGTGCAAAGGATTTGGTACGAAGATGGCGTGATATGGTTTTACCTTCTGCTCATTCTACTCCACAGCCTACACCTGCAGACACAGCACCACCTGCTCTTAATGGAGCAAAACCACATAGCCCTGCACTAAGATGTTTTAAACCACAAAGTCCAGCATTAAGAAGTATAATGCGGTCTCAAAGTCCATTGTTAAGGGAAACGCTTGCACTCAGAGTAAGTCATTCAAATATTCATTTTTTTATTTACATAATATACATTAAATTTAAAACATATACATATGTACTGTGTAACTATAGTATCTCTCTAAATTGAATATATTCTGTTATTGATGTTCTTCGTTTTAATGTGATTAAATTTCCAATGAATTAAAGAAAAAATTTTATATAAATATAGATTCAGAAATGCTTTGTTACAAATTCATAAGCAAAATAAGCAATAAGTAGGTAATATATCTAAACTGTTTCTTGAAATCGAGGAGAACATATTGAAGGATAAATAACAGTTAAAAAAAACTAACAGAGTAAAAGAACAATTGATCATTGAAAGTAACATGATTGACAAGAAATTTATAATTTGTTAAGGTCAAAAGTATTAAAAGTATTTATATTTGTTATTTTTATTAGATCAAATTTTACACCATTATACTAACTTTTAATCTACTTGTATATAACATTTTCTTTTATTTCCATAGAACATAATAGAACTAATATATTGTTCCAATTGCAGGTGCTTAGTCCAGTTCTATCTGTGAATTGCGATCATTTACATTCTCCTAATGCGTCATCAAATAAGCAGTCAATTACAGTAACCAGCAACCACAGAACAAGTTCTGATGTGCCACCGACGCTTGGTTCTTCGAGCCAACATCATTCGATGGAAGCAGTGCCACGAACTCACAGTTCAAACAAACGTCTTCGAAAAGATGATCCCAAGGACCAACATAATTTTCAGTCTCATGATTCAGTCTCAATCACCGAAAGTGAAACCTTTGTTAAAAAACAACGTCTAAATGGCGAAAATGTGTGTGGTAATTCAAATATGCAAGTGCCTAGCCCCACATTTAGAGAAAGAATCTCTGATCATTTTACGGAGTCTTCCACTAAACCTGATGAATCAGGGCCAAAGAAACGTGGTAGAAAGAAAGGCAGTAAATCTACGAAGAAACAACCGGTTTTAGAAGATTGTGTAAAGGAAAAACTAGCTAGTATCTCAAGGAATCCTAAATTAAAGACAACACAAGAATTGCTGGCTGATCTACGGGCACGCGGCACCAATTCTAGCATTAATTCAAGTGCTCTACCTAGTCAAAGTGTAGAATCATCCGGCATGGAAGATATTCTGAGGAGTAGCAATGAACAAGTATCAAAGTTCCTTCGTGGTCCTCAGAATAATTTGTCCCATAGAAATACAGTTTCTGAAGCCTCACCAGAAAGTCGGTTAAAGCCCACAGAAAACTGTCTCGATGTACCATCTAAGTGTGAAGAATCAGGTGTAGTGTACAAAGAAAAATCTGTTACGAATGTTCAAAATAATCAACTAGAACAATATCAAGATTTAACGGTTGAAGAAATATTGGCCAAGTTACCACCAATAGATCCGAGTTCAATAGATTGGAGTGAGTGTGAAACTAAATCAACAGAAGATCAAAATAGTACTGAGTATCCACCTAGACAAATTACTACAGAGGATATAGAAAGGTTACATACACAATGTGTTGAAGGACTGAATGGAAACTTCCAACCAAAATTATCGTTTTTAACTTCGACTTGTAATGAAAAACCAGAGGTAAAGGAAGATGTGTCAGAAATCAGTAGTGCGAACAATGTGTATAGCCAACCTGATGAAGAATTTCGAGAATGGCATCAAATGCTAGCAAGGTCCAGTTCTAATGGCCAGGTTTTACACATATTGCCTTATGTTATAATTGATTAGTAATTTTATTATCTTATTCTATTACTATTCTGAAATTTGTGAAAAATCCCTATAAATATTAAAGAGATTGATCAGTCATCAATCTATTAAACCAATTTCTATTGCAATTTATGATTGCCTTTATTTCTATAAATGCTCTTTATACTACCACCTTTATCATCATTATCGTTCCCTAATTATTCAAATTAAAACTGATACTTTGAATGTGTAAACCAATCACGCTAGAAATATGTAACTGGCAATCATTTTTCGCGTGAATATCATT